CCTGCAGGCACTGATGGCCCCAGTCCATTGTTTTCCTCTGGCACCAAGTCTGGGTTGCGTGCCGTCTGTACTCCGCTGAAACTCGTGGGGTCAGGAGTCCAGTGGGGCCAGGACTCGATCTCCTGGAACAGCTTGTTACCGGGGCATTCCGTCTTGCTGGCAGCGTTCTGGCGGTGGCCAATCAGCTGGTACTGGGCCTCGATCTTTTTCTCGGCCACTCCACAGTCGATCAGCTGCTGGAGCGCGTTCAGGGCTGCCGGGTTTGGCAGGCGATCTGAGGGCAATACATTTTGTTATGTGTTGGAGTGAATCTCGCCGGGGTTTTGGATTGGATATTGAATTTATTGACCATTTATACACACATGACTCGCAACTACAAGTAATTACAGCACCACCGCTAATCACCACAACACCCGCTAAGCCTTTTCCAGCCTACTGCGTCTTCACCAGCCCTTCCCTGACAACGGCTTCTAACAGAAGAGATTCGTCAGCTTCCTCGCTGAAGTCCTCTCGGAATACCGGCTCTTTTCCAACTGTCCCTGTACAGCCTCCGGTACAGAACTAACTTGGTCGCCGGAATTGTCTTCCTTATGTAACACCTTTGCACGGACCGCGTAGAAAACACCGTTTCCAACAGTACCTCCGCCGTTGCAGCGGAAACGTGTTTACCGAACCGTTGCCTAGAAATGGCTCTACACGCTACAATATACTGCTAGTAGTGGTTGAAGTAAGGAATGATACCATGCAATAAACCTAACATCATTATACTTGAGTATATATATAAGGCACATATTTGCCGATTGACGTTTAAATTTCATCTCATAAAAATGTCCTGAAGAAAGAAGTTGAAAATATATGCTCAAATATATACTGGTTTAAATAGAATGCATGTGGAACATGTGACACCAATCACCCTGGGAGTGTCTGGATAAAGATGAAGAAGTAAAATGAAGAAAGAAACAATGGCGATGGAGAAAGAGGGACTACGTTGATCGAGGATGGAGAAAGTGATACAAAGAAGATAGATAGAGAGACGGGAAGATGGATACGGACAGAGGAGGACAATAGAGAAATAGATTCGAAGTCTGTGAAGAGTAAAGACAAGGTTAGTTGAGAAAGTGATAACGGTCGTGGGGAAGGGACGAGGAAGTACTAGGACAGTAGGAAAGCGCGAAGGAGGAAAGACGAAGGCCAATGAAAACGAAGTGATAGGCGTGGAGACTTGACAAGAGGGTCGCAAAGTAAGGACGCAAACCAGTATGAAGAACAAGGGGTGAGAACTGGGGTTTCCAGTACCTGTGAAGTCCCCTATGATGCACATGCCTATGCTCCTCGTGTTATACGTGGGAGCATGAGCACCCACGGCCTCCCAGCCGCGTCCCTCGTACACGTTTCCATCTTCACCAACCAGAAAGTTGTAACCGATGTCGTTCCAGCCGTTGAAATCTATGTGATAGTTCTGGTACGATCGGACAATGGCAACGCACTCTTCCATTGTCGTGCAGTACTTCCTCATCCCACCATGGTGCACCACGACGAATGGCACTGGCAGGCTCAGTGGCTCGGTCGAGCCCACAGGAGGTCTTCCGCCCCACTCTTCTTTGCTGATAATCCTAGGGCATTCTAATCAGTACACATAATCAGATTCTGACAGCGTGCAGTCTGGTAGGTACAGGCCGTGTTGTTCGTGAAGGGAAGTAGCGGGGCAGTGGTTGCCGTAAGCCGGGGTGTAGAAGGAAAAGTACGTCCCAATTTTCTGTTCTGGTGGAACCTCTCGCTGAAAAGCAGGCGCTACATGCAGTAACAACTGGGCTCAACTGATGCCGCTAGGAATGCGTGGGTCCTTAATGTCCCTGGTTTTCATGCACCTTCATGACAAGACGCTTAGGGACAGGGCTCAAATAGACCACCTGCTGATCTTTTCTGATTTCTTGTGGGTTGTTTAACGATGCTGTCAGTATCGAATGGAATGATGGCCGATGGATTGGAAAGGATCTGGAAGAAAGCAGCCTTGAGGCAGTCGAAGTGATATCCAAGCATTTACCTGGAAAAATTGAGGAAAACCACAAAAATCCTCTACCAGGATTTTTTTATTGCTAGTGGGGTCGGACTAAGTCCCTTGTACTGCGGCCACTTCTGGCCTATTGTACCAGCCCCAGATGATAGGTGAGGGTGATTGTGGAGCAATTGGTGGAATGAAGATTGGCAGGGGAAACCGAAGTACTCGGAGAAGACCTGCCCCAGCGCCACTTTGTCTACCACAAATCCCACTTGACCAGACCCGGGATCGAACCCGGGCCGCCGCGGTGGGAAGCCAGCGACTAACCGCTTGAGCTATGGCGCGGCCCCTGGACCAGGATAGTCGGTGTCAAAGCCGAGACTCGAACCGAACACCTTCCGAAATAAGTTTAAAGCCTTAGCTCTAGATCAATGTGTACAGTGTCATTAATGATCATCGTTTATCTTCATTCATCGGCTGTTCAGTCTGTGTAGTTTGAACTGCTTTATCAGCTTATCTGGGGATTCATCGATATAGTCTGAAGACTATAGAAGCGAACTTGCAATTGTAATGTTGATGAGCGAAGCAGCTGTGAAGTATGTTTATTGATGATATCAGCAGAGATAATCGAGCCCAGTAAATACACATAAAACGGGTTACGTAACGTCAGGTAATAATAATTTGACTGAATTGTTTCCAAATAAAAAACAAATTCCGTGTCCTGTAGTCCGCAAGCGAACTGTACCGACCGAGCGACCGCCGCTTGTCTTTTGCGGATAGAGGATGTCACGTGGTTGTCAGTCCAACGGATCCCCACGGCCATTAATCTCGGTTTTCTAGACCGGAATTTGTTTCCAGATAATATATAAAAAAATCAGCTCGTACTTCACAGGAAACACACAACGCCTCCGCTACAAAGCCCAACCGGTTAATGCTGTTTTGTGAAAGAGTCGCTGTTTAATGTGTGAATTTCGTGTCTCCTTCCCGTTCCAGTCGAATAGTCATGTTCAACACACGCGTACGTACAATGAGCGGTAAATGGCAGGCAAATCGGCGCGCAGTGTTACCAAAATTGATTAACAGATAGCTCCTTCGTACCCGTTGCGAGATTTTACGCCTTGTGGACATATTTTCTGACCGTCCCTGGCTTGTGCAACCAGAATAACACCATCATCAATACAAGATATACAGGGTGACAATATCAGACCCAACATGTCGTACTGTCAGTCCACAGCGCAGTGTTTCAGAATGGGAGAAACTCGTATCCCGTCTTTGGATCATCATACACTCACCTGAATTTCCAAAGGCAAGAAAGTTTCCAAGTAACAACAGGAAACTCCATGTAGGTGCCATCTTGAAGGTTGAAGAACATAAACTGATTCCCTTCTGACTTGGCTAAGCTCTCACCTCTGAAATTAAGTTCTCCTTTTGTATGGTGTAGTCGCGTAAGAAATCTAATCTGAACTGCGATAACAGGAATCACTTGTAATGTGGACCTTATAAGCGTTATTTTGATCCGGTTCTTTGTTATTGGTACAAAATACATCTTATTCTTCTCCGTATGTGGATTGGGCAACAGCCTGTTGCACCTTCTAAGAGAAACGTCTTTCTCAAAGTCTTCCTTGTAATCATCTGCCTCTCGGTCTGTAGCTGATATTGCCTTTGATAAGCCGATCACAGTGGCCGCGCGGTCTAAGGCACGAACTGTCTTCGCTCGCTCGAACATTTGGATCGTGATTTCGAATCCTACTCAAGGCATGGATGTCTGTATGCGTTTGCTCTGTGTTTGTGTTGTTCTGTACGTATGTAGCGGCCTTGCGAAGGGCTGATTCCCCGTCTCAATTGATTGAATATTCAGTTAGTGATCTGGTTCAGGATAGGGACCGGTGGAGGGCTCTTGTGAACACGGTAATGAACCTTCGGGTTAGCTGAGCGACTGGCGAGGCAAGCAGTAACGTAGTTATTTTTTTTATGAGGCGAAACTGAGTCCACTGGGTACGGCGGCCACTAATTGGCCTATTGTACCAGCCCCGGATAACAGATGATGATGAATGTGGAGCAGTTGGTGGAATGCGAATTGGCAGGGGAAACCGAACTACTCGGAGGAAACCTGCCCCAGTGCCACTTTTTCCACGGCGAATCCCACATGACCTAACCCGGGCTCGACTTACCGCCTGAACTATAGCACGGCCCGGTAGCATCGTTGGAGTTCCAGGAACCTTGCTAAGGGTAAAGGGCAGTCAACGTGTAAGGCTGACAACTGCATCGCAATCTGTGAGCCGATTGTCTAAAAATGTGAGAGCCTCGACGTCCCCAAACCCTATGGGCTTCCATGGCCTGTTACAGGGATAGCTTTACTCTTCTCTACGACATTTAGAGCTGTATTTGCATGCTGGGTCGTTCAGGGAACTGGTAACGAATATCTCCAGAGTTATAATATTGTTTTGTGGCAACGGTCTTCTTGATAAAATAAGCATTTAAAATTTGTTTGTGTCGCCTTACAGCCTTATCCATTCACTGCTGCTGTCAGACATGGTAGAGAGTGTCTAGTTAGGCCGCGCCATAGCTCAAGCAGTTAGTCTCTGGCTTCCCACCGCGGCGGCCCGGGTTCGATCCCGGGTCTGGTCAAGTGGGGTTTGTGGTGGACAAAGTGGCGCTGGAGCATGTTTTCTCCGAGTACTTCGGTTTCCCCTGCCAATCTTTATTCCACTAATTGCTCCACAATCACCCTCACCTATTATCTGGGGCTGGTACAATAGGCCAGAAGTGGCCGCAGTACAAGGGACTTAGTCCCACCCCACTAGCAATAAAAGAAATTAGCTTTTAGTTCTTACGAACATTTTGACCTCTCGACAGTGCGAATCCCTTTTCTTTTAATCATATTCCAGTCGTTAACTTAATTTCAGACGTTCACTGCGTCATAACCCAAGTAATTTTAATGTTGTTATGAGTTTTAGAAGCGCTTTATTTCTTGGAGGTGGCCTTTGCAGAGTTCATTGGAATTCAGTGGACTGTTGTATTGTAGATAAGGGACACAGGTGACCTGTTCTGTAATCTGCAAGATAACATGAAGATGAAGGAGAAGATATCGAATAAATGATGTTGTCACATATAAGGAGTATCGTGACTAATAATTGTGGGTTCTGAATCCGATTATTGGATTTATTGGAAATCTCTGTTACAGTTACACTTGATTGCAACAGCTCGCACACTGAACTCCTTGATAACTAATCTCTCACTGTATTTCTTCTAGTTCTTGGTCTAGTCTCTACTCTCTAGTCTAGCTGTCCGAATCTGGTATTGACCTAACATCATGCAGACCGAATACAGAACACCCAGTCGGACAGTTTACCGTCCTCTGATGTAGTCTGTTGCTACGAAACGTGTCACAATCTCAACGCGTTGATTTATACTAGCGTATATTCGTTGCCGCGGAAATTTGTTTTGTACTGCGTTGGTGTCCAGGAATCCACTTCCATAGGAACGTGCGTTAAGTCGTTGTTAAGGAAACAAGTGTTCACCCAGCCGTTGTCTAGCAACAGACGTTTCTGTTGTGCTTCTCTGACTGCGCACTTCGGGCTTTCAGGCTTCATGTCGTTATATACATACTGCATCTTTCTGTTCAAATTACACTGTCACTCCCATCGACAAAATCGTTATTTACCCTGCTCAGCCTAAGGACTATCCAAAATAATTGTATTAGATACGAGTATTTTTAGTGAGAAAAAATACATTTTACATTAGAAATGTCGGGAATCGTATTTTCCGATTTTATGTTAAATTGCCGCAAAAGGTAATAGAACATACCAAAATAGGATTCCCTTCCAAAAGAATATAAGAGGTTTTGAACACACAGCATTTAATGGAATGTAGAGGGCAAAGCCATCCATGTAACAGGCCTTGGAGGCCCATAGGGTTGTGAGACGTCGAGGCTCCCACATTTTCTAGACAGTCGGCTCACAGATGGCGGTGAGATCAGTTTTACGCGCCAGTCGCCTTTTATTTCCAGGAGAGTTCCTGGTACTCATACCTGTTAAAGGCTGAGTCGACCCTAGGGCCATAGTGCGACTGAAAGAATTAGGTCAATTGAAAAATCCAATTAATTACGAAATTAAGTGCAGAAACAACTTTATCGTATTGCTTTTGTTCTTTTGTAACTTCCTTCACTTTCCTATGAGCTGAGAATATTGTGGTATGTACTTGGAGATGGCAGCACGTTCGAATGTTCGTGGCACTGCAATGATTATCTTTCCCTGTTCCGTAATCATCCGTGATTCGGAGATCCATATTTTGTGCGTGGAGGTAACAACGAAATTTGCGTAATGGAATGTGTTTGTTAATGACTGTTGAGATTTGGCAGAGAGTAATTGGAGAGAAAGAAGGAAATGTTAATATTTTTTAAAGAAGCATTTTTGAATAGTCATGAAGAAGTCAAAAGCTCAGGTAATAACTGCCATAGAAATCCTTGTCACGTGTGTGATAGAACCACTATTGTATCCTAGGTTGATGTATCAAGGATTAGGATTAGATTATGAGTTCTTTTATCTCGTGGTACGTTATGTGACTTTGGCGTGTTACAAGTTTTGTTTAAATACTTCTTATATTCAGCCTGTTACGGTTTGCGGTTTTCGTAACTTGTACAGTTCGCGCAGTGTAATTAGAATAACAGAGTCAAGGCGAATGAGATGGGCATGGCATGTTGCACGAATGCTGGAGAAGAGGAATGCGTGTAGGATATTGGTGGGAAAGTCATAAGAAAAGAAACCATTAGAAAGACCAAGACGTAGGTGGGTGGATAATATTAAAATGGATCTTAGCGATGGGGTGGTATGAAATGGATTGATCAGGCTCAGGAAATGGACCAGTGAAGGCTTCATGCGAGCACGGTAATGAACCTTCAAATTCAATAAAATTTGGGGGAATTGAGTAACTGCACAACTGGTGGCTTCTCAAGAAGGGCTCACCTCCATACAGTTAGTTATGTATCAGGATTTAAGCAAAGCGGAGTTCATGAAATTGTGCCCATTTTAGAAAACCCCTTGTTTTCTATAAGGAACATCTAGACATAACATTTCTGAAGCGTGTGATGTCTGACAAACCATCCAAGGGAAGAGAGTTGGTGATCAAAGTATTGGGCTGCTGTTTTATACAGTACCTCTTCAGCCCTTAAAATCCATGCTTTGTTATCATATGGTAATACATGATAATGCTATTAACAGTTTTAGTGTTTATGTTGTCCAGTTTTACATAAGTAATGATTTGGCCCACTTCTTCAGTGTTACTGAACATTCACGATGTTTGCACAGTTCTGTTCTCTGGATTATAATGCTCTGTAGTTTGTTGAAAGTCAACCAATGTTTCTGAAGAACACGTCACCTCCATCTGCTTTCTTGCTGGTTTCTCTGCTGAGCTTATTATTTGACCCTGAGGATGGAAGAAACATATTTCTCCAAAACATCAACTGACTCTCAATGGACCTCATGGCGTTGTATCCCAGAAAATAGAAATCTTCATAACCACTGCTGAGAGAACCTCAGATTCTGCATTCATAATGTCTGATTTCAGGTCCAGGGAACAAATGATTTTAATACAATCTCGAAATGCTCAATGGTAAAGTGTGGGTACTTTAGGGATGACTATGTATCGTACTTTGTAACGAGATGCAGTCGACGGACTCCATTGATTCATCTTGGTTACTACATGCGAGTCTTAACGGTTGACTACGCTCTTCGCTCCTTTCTTGATTCAGTTTTGGGTCAGCCAGCTCAGGTAAGTCAACATGATGTGCCTCAGAATGTGTTTATTCCTATCTGAGCAGCAGATGTGACCATGGAAGTACATGAAGCGTATTTCTAAAGTTAATTCTAGTTAACATAGGCACCATACAGTATCTTTAAGACTGAAAATAGAAGTGTGTGTGACACTAAACCCTGAACTACTGAGCAGTGAGTCAGCAAGCGAAACATACGTTTTGACATATTTTTATATTTCTCCAGTAAATAAAATAACAGGGTTGGTTTGTTTGGGTTAGATTAATGTAATATAATTGTATTATATATTGTGTTGGATGTAGTAAATATAAATGAAACATTAATCTCAACAGAAGCTCTGCAGTAGTTTACATCATGCATACGCACATCGTAAGAAGTTGTAGTACATGACTCAGGGTAGAGTATTTTTTTTATTTGGTGTCAGCTGTGATTCACAACAATAAAAAGTTTAACATTGTTAACTAAGAATATGATAGAGATTTCCCCTTATGAATTTGTAGCTACTCATCTGGTCATGAAACACATACTGGTATTTTTTTCTCTCTCTCCTCTCGCTCTCACTTTGGAGCACAGGGCTGATTTCTCAGTTTCATGATCATTTTACAGACGGTAGGACTCCTTGGGCGGGTGATCAGCTTGTCGCAAGGCCTCTACCGAAACACAGGACAACACAGACACAGAATTCATGCATACAAACACCAAACATCCATGCCTTGTGTGGGATTCAGACCCATGATTGCGGCTTCTGAGTGAGCAAAGACAATACATGCCTTAGACCGCTCGGCTACTGTGACCAGCGCATACTGGCATACTCCACATTAATAAATGATGTCATCTTGTTTTATGGTTGTATAGCTTTGCTGTCAGAAATAATGTGAGCCATTAGCAAATGCAGAATGAGCTCCATCTTTGGCCATTCTACAGGCTCCACCACACGAACGTACAAAGATATGGAGACCAAAATTTGAACCATTGTAGTCCCAAAACTAGCAAATGACAGTTTTTTCTTGTATTTTTTTTTGTCAAAAATCTCCAAAAGTTTGGCTCAAAGTTCCCTGTATATTTTCCTGTAGACCTACAGGAGTATGTGACACATCTTCATGCCAGATCTGCAGCCTGACCTTTACCCATCCCTGCTTCATAACCGTTGTACTGGACTGGAAACAATAGTTTACTTCAGTTATCACAGGAAAACACCAGAGTAAAACTTTTAAGAGGAGTGACTGCTCCTAACTCATTCCTTTCAGTTCGCTATGCCTGTCATATAACATTTCATTCCATGCTATATAATCTCTCCGTTTGATATGAATGTTGCTAAGTAATCTGTGAACTTTGGAACAATCGCAGATTATACTTGTGTAACTTTATGTTAACTCTGGTTTGGCAGATCATCTCCTGTGGCGCTGGATTTGACACAAGTTTCTTCCGTTTAGCTACCAGCGGTTCTGTCCACCCAGAAATCTACTTCTATGAAGTTGACTTCACAGAAGTGGTTGATAGAAAAGCAGAGTGCATCCTGGACTCAAAGCCTCTTCTGGATTGCATTGGATCTTTTGAAAGTAAGATATTGTAACGTGTTTCATTACAGAATACGCCGTAGAGATCGTTAATTGGTTTATTCAACAATCTACAAGAAACGGCTACAATTAATTATAACACAGTTGCGGGTTTCCACACTTTACAAACCCTACAACCAAAGTCTTCACGTACTAATAACGCGGGAGCTATACAAGTCTACCTGAATTACACACTTCCAAATATAACTGTACTACAGCACTCACTAAGTCTCGAAAGCACACAATAAGTCTTCCGCTCGCTGACTTCTTAGTTATCGCACACTCGCAGGCTGCTACCTTGAGAACTCTTGATAACACACTCGCTCGTAGGCTTGCTCGGAACTATCTTCGGCGATGGCCACGTTACAACTCGACTAGGCGACTGTTACTTTACAACTCGGCGACTGCCCACATTATAACTCGTTTTTAGCTGCTGTGCAGTTCCCTTATATAGCCGCAGTGGTGCCTGTTGCGTGACACGTCACAGGAGTTGTTGGCTGCTGCCTGGCAACCGCGAAATCCCTTGGTGACGTCACCGCTGTTGACTCGCGTTGCATAGTTACCAGGTTGCGGGAGCTCGGCTAACTTCGCCTCCGCTCGTGACGTCACCGCGGGGAGAGTGGCGGGGTGATGACTCGCCTATTACGCGAGCGCTACATTACCGCTACGTGCCGCTGGGGAGGTAGGGGTCAACATGTCACAATATATAGTTTTTCAGAGGAAGGCCCTGAAGACTCTACAGCAGTGGTTCTCAACCTTTGTGAGACTGTGGCCCAGTAAATTCTTTTTTACAAGATGAGAGCCCGGTATCTGGCCATGGCACGGCGGTTGAGAAACACTGCTCTAAGGACAGCTTATCTTCAAGCCAACATTTATATCTTGCACAAGAGTCCTTAATTTTTTGACTACCAAGCTGTACTGTAGACCTCCTTTGTAGGAACACTAAAGCTGCTACTTGGAGGTAGTTGCGCAGACCCTCACAGATTACCTTCAAACAGTGACAGATGTAGATTATGTGAAAGACTACTTTTTCCTCTAAATGTCAGTAGATAACACTTGATGACATCTATTGATAGGAATGCTGTACTGAATCATTAACGTCAAACCAGTGTCTTCAGCTCTGGCAGTTTTAGTGCAGGTATGCTGAGCTGATCTGATTGAGTGCAAAGGGTCACTGTGCTAATAGTGCTTTTTTTTTTCTATGCAGTGAACCAGAATGGTGTAAGAGGACTTGTTGGTTCGCAGTATCACCTTATTGCAAGTGATTTGCAAGCCCTTGACAAGTTGGAGGCAAACCTGATTCAGGCTGGGCTGATGTTCTCTTTGCCTACTCTTCTGCTCTCTGAATGTTCCATCTGTTATATGGATGAGGCTAGGTAAGGTGAGTGCCATTAGAGGAACATTTCTGGGGTAATTTATACTTTCAAACTTTCAAAAGGATTGTTTCAGATGACATTGATTTCAGTAATCTGTTAGTCAGGATGTAATTTGGGGTCTCAATTATATTCTGTTGCCTTTGCTGAAAGCCAGCCATAACACAAGGCGGAGTCATCATGTGCCAAAACAGATCAATTATAATTTGGAATTTTTCACAGGAATTAATTGGCATTGTACTGAGACTTTGGAAGGAAATCCCATGAATGGCTTGAGGTTTCACCTTTCCGTTTATGTTGCAATTCTCTCCAGCCCTGTCTGCCCTCTGTTAACAAACTTGAAGTGCTGGGCACTGGTCATTCTTGTGAAATGACTGAGAGGGTGACTGGAGGGGAATACATGGATGTATGCTGGAGGTGATGCAGTGGAGAAAATTGGTGTATAAGTCTTCCTTCCATAGACTCAGTATAGACTACTATCACTCACTCATGGAGCTGAGCTCTTCTTGAGAAGCTGCCAGTTGTGCAGCCAGTCAAGAACTTCCCATCATTTTATGGAACCTGAAGGTTCATTACTGTGCTCACAACACTACAACACATCAAAAAGATATAAGGCTTATATTCAACATATTTTGCACATTATTTATGACCTTAATCATGTTGTACCTTTTACATCATTGATAGAGTGGATAATCACATAAAGAAGCTCCATATTTCTGCACCTGATTTATGTCCAGTTTACCCCTACTCTGTTTCAAACATCTGCCATCTTCTTTTCTATGTAAGATTTCAGGTTTTTATGGCGGTGACTATGAAGAATGCCATCTTCTAGGATGTGGTGCTGTATAGATCCTGTGTGAACTGGTGTTTCAGAGGAACGCATCGCCACCATCCTTTGGTTCCTTGCTCGCGGATTTTTCCTCCCTGAAGATGGAGGTCATACGTTCCTCCAAAATGTCAGTTCACACGAGATCTACAAGGTACCACATCCCAGAAGATGGCATTCTTCATCTTTTTTCTCTAGCTGCCTCAAGGCTGTTCCTTTGACATCTTCATTTTGTCTTATTTTATTCCTTTAGCTGACAAAGCCTTGGATGCTGTCATTGTTATATTGAGTCTTATTCCATTGAATCAACAGAACTTGTTAAAAATGTCATTAAGTCCATTTACCTTGAGTCATACTAAGTATCTTTGATCATAATCTGTGATAATAATTTGTTTTGTAAGTGTAATTTCTTTATCATTGAACGTGGTCCCCCCCCAGTAAAACCTTGCTTAAGTGATTATCAGAATGAGATTTCAGGAACGGTGGCCTTTTCCTCTGTTTCTTGATCATTGCCTGGCAACGGATCTGTATACAACAATACATGTGAACCTTCTCATTACCTCCAGATTTAAAGATTTTTTCAGAACATCTGAGTTTTATGTTTCAGTTCTTCATTGCTTATACAGTGGGCAGCATCCAAATTTGAAGATGCCACGTTTGTTACATATGAACAAATATATCCAGATGATGGCTTTGGAATTGTGATGCAGAAACACTTTGAGAGCATGAACAGTCCCCTGTTATCCCTTGCACAGTTCCCTGACCTGGAGTCACAAGAACATCGTTATGTGTCCCGGGTATGTATTGCTTTTAATGGGTCCAGTACAACACAAGAAGTCTTGGTCCAGACTGAAATTTAGTGCCAAATTATACTATTGCAGCAGATTCCCCATTTAATTTTCCTCAATATGAGTTTTTCTTTTTTTTAACATTCAGTTCATTGATCCCAAGTCAGTAATTTCAGTGTTAGATTTTATGCTTTCAGCATTTATCCCATTTCAGTGTCCATCTTTTATGGTATGCATCCTGTTTTGTGTGTCATTTAGAAAAAAATATAATTTGGCACAGTCACACAACAAATAATCAAAAAAAAAACAAAATAGACACTACTGTGTCAACATTTGTTTTTTTCATTGATGGTGGTAATGCTACATGTAGCATTGTGCTACTGTCGCAAATTGTATCTTTTCATTTCAGTGTCATGTCCACTGCTTTCCAAATAAATCATGGAGATTTCTTTATATTTTTAATTTTACTTTTTTGCTTTCAGGGATGGAGTTCTTGTGGTGTGTGGACAGCATTTGAAATGTTCCAGCAAATTGCAAGTCCTGAAGAAAGATGGAAAATTATAAATTTGGAACCTTTTGATGAGCTGGAAGAATGGCATCTTGAAGGCTGTCATTTTGGACTTATGGTGGCTTCGAAAGGAAGCCTCACAGGCTGGTTCCTCAAGTTTGTAGACGTGCTTCCGCCAGTTGACAAATGCATAAAGAAACCTAGTATTCAGTGGGAACTTGCAGAACCATCAAGCGGGAAGAATGTATCTAGGTTTGCACAGAAGACTGTGAAGTTTCAAGAGAAGGATGGTTTTAATATTCTCGTTGTTGGTGGTTTTGGTCCTTCGGCAAAGTCTCTGCATGGCCGACGCCATGAAGTCCTCAGTATAAATGACAGGCATGTTATCATCTTCTCTTGTATTTTATTTAAGCACTTAAGGCACTGAGTTTCTTACACTGTTGTTGCATGCAAAATTTTTCAATTGTGCTAGTTATTTGCTTACTATGGCCCCATTTTATGAACCATTTATATTACAATCAAGCTTGCTCTTTTAAAAGGTAAAGTTGTCCCTGTGCCTGACTGTGTAATTAAGCAATAAGCCATGAAGGTGTAGGGGGGAGTGGATCAGTAGATTCACTTTGTCTTGATCTCTTACACCCAGGTAAAGGGTCTCCGGTACCCACTGGAAAGGAGGCTGGGTGAGCCCCAGAAGCAGTCTGGATGACTTGGAGAAGAAAAATTTATCGAATTCTGACCTCTCCATAGCCCAGCCTGTAGCCAGTTGCTATACCAACTGTTTAAAGGATTAAGACAAATTTAGGATATCAGACTTGTGCATGTACGCTCCTGGAGGAGGATATTTTCATAGCCCATGAAAGATGAGTGACATGTCAGTTGAACGGATTATGAACCATCAAACAAAAATAAGTGACAGAACCATATGCCAAATAAAATTCACAGTAACAAAATTAACTTAGTATGAAGAGGTTGGTTTTCTGATTTTACTTTGTTGAGATATATCTAATCGTACTTTCAGTAGCTCAGATTAGATAGTGTCAAATCATAGAATAACTGGTGAATAATGAATTTGAAAGTATGTGGGTGGAAATGGTGATGGCTTAATTTAAGTTCTTATCCTTGCCTTTTCATGGGAGGGGTATAGAAACCATAGAAAATTCAGTCAGCTAGTATCTGGGCTGGAGTTTGAACTCAGAACCTCCAAAACGTTCCATTCCAGTAGGGATCAGCATACAGATGTCTCCGTGACTGGCGGCAGGACCCTTAGAGTCGAAGACGTTGCACTGGAGTCTGCTGTAAACTTGGATATGCTACATCACACCTGCACATGTCTGTCCCTGCGGGGTCCAGACGACACCGCTAGGGTGATGGTGTATGGAGGCCGGTACTCGCCATGCAGTCCAGTGAACGTGTGGCCCCGTATTTTCTCTGTGTTGGCACATGACGTGGGAACCCGCATGACAGTAGCAGACAGACATATTGCTGTTACAGAAAGGCAGAATGTGCCTGTGTCGCGCTGGAGACATAGTGCAGTCTGTCTGAAGTCATCAACACCTTCCGCTGTTCAAGACTATGTCGTTGTGTTCGGAGGACGAACACCAGATTTTAAGGTATGTTTGCCAATAATTTTGTGTTGACCCTTCATGCTGCTATTAAGTGCTTTCGTCATAAAACAGAAACCTTACCATAAATTTTTAGACTTGGGGAAGGTGTAAACATAAAAGTATTGAGCATGGCAATGGTAAAAATGACAGCAGTTACCTGCAGTGGGTCTCTTGTATGAGTCCCAGTGATGCTGGAACATACGGCCAGGGAGGCAGACCCTAGCACCCCCACGATAAAAATTGTGATGGACTGAATAAAATATGAAACTTGCATGATAAATGAAAGAATGCAGCTTTAGGAGAATTATGATTGGCAAAAGAAAACACATACTCAAAGAGAAACCTGTCCAGTACCCCTTTGTCTACCTCATCCCACATGGACTTTCCTGGGTTTGAACCTGGGCATCCACAATGAAAATCACTCAGCAAAAGATCTAAACTATTACATGGCCTAATGGTAATCTAACACCTGCACCATTGCTTTATTATGTACTATCTCAGGTCTCATTTTCTTGTGTGTTTTTATGTAATGTAAGTTTTGATTTGATGCAGGTGTTAGGGGATGTGGTTGTATGGACAGTGCAAGCCTCGGACATGACTGTCAGCTGCAAAGAAGTGCTAAATCAGAAAGACTGGCCACGTGCAAGGTTTTCCCACAGTGCATCAGTGTGGCGCAAGCAGACCATGGTCGTGTCTGGTGGACTAGGTCAAGATGTACTGCCACTCAGAGACATCTGGTGTTTCAGTCTGGAAGGAGAGATGTGGAGTGAATTGCGTGTTGATGGAATGTTGCCACGATACTCACATACGTCAGCCGTCTGTGGGGACAAGATGATTCTTATTGGGGGTGTTAACACTTTGCCTGGGAGTCAGCCTGGAGTGTGTGTTGTGGATCTGAACACTGCCTCATGCACTGAATACGCCCTGCCTGTAAGTGTGTGACATTTCACGCAAACTGTATAATAGGTAAAACCCATGTGGCTGATTAGTTAAGCACTGCATCATGAAGATGTATGGGGGAGTGGAGGTATAGCTCCATTATTCTTGACTTCAGCACTAGATGGAGGTGAGTCGTCAGCTTCCCATCCAGTCCCATAGCCAGCCTGTGTGCTATAGACTGTTGGGGTGACTTAGAAGACAGGTTTTGGATTGGATTTATTGCACCTTATACATTCACACAATTTGGGACTACAGGCAATACAGTGTTATTGCTTCCATTTCACCATTACACACGCACTAGGATTCTCCGTCTTCACTAGTTTTATCCTGGCAACGAATTTATCACAATCTCACTGTAACTTGAGATCACACATGAAGTCTTCTTTTCACAGCCTGAGTTGTTGCCATTATTCTGTAGCTCATATCCTGGCAGGATTGTGTCTCGAAGCTCAACCCTCCCTTTCCCAACTACTGTTCTCTACTCTGTTGCTTCTTCTGACTGTGTCCTTTTATAACCCTTGGCACAGACCCCATGGAAAACAGCCTGTATTGTTGTTGAGGCATGTTTACCGCGCCATTGCGTAACAATCAATGGCCTATTGTTGCACATATGCTTGTGCAGGCTGTTTGCCGAATCGAATCGTTGCCTGGCACTGGGTATACACGTCACGATATCTTGACCCTCTGGGGAGTCAGACCCGAGCCATCGAACCAGAAGTCCAGAAGTATACCAGCTGAGCGGCGCATAGACTTAATTTTGTATTTATAGTTTAATTAACAGTGCTGTGTATGGTGTTGAATCGTGGGATGATAATGAATAATGAACTAGAAAGGATTTAGAAGGAAGCAGATATGGCATAATTCAAGGTGCTGCCCAGGCTTTTGCCTGAAGGGACTGGGAAAACCAGGAAATACCTCAGTCACAATGGATGGTGTTTCAGCTGTGATTCAGATGAGGTACCCCCTCGAATACAAGATAGAAGCATTACCGCTTTAGCCAAATGCCTTTTTTTTGTGTGTGTAGTTTGTTATATGTTAAAAGCTTGAAGAAACATTTCAGTTGTCTCTTCAGTGATATAAAGAGAGATTTTGAATTCCCTTATAACCAATCCTCATGGAAATTGCTGTGTGGTGGGATGTGATACAGTGTAGTCTGGTAGAACATTATCTACTATTTTAGAGTAGAGAAGCTCTCCGAAACATCTGTGAACATGTACTAGACATGTAATCTTCATAGTTACTCCTGTGAGAACCTCAGATCTTGCTTAATTCCATGAGTTCTACCTGAATTTGGAAATTTTGTAGTACTGATATAGGTGCCTTTTCAAGAATCGTGCTGGCAAGAAACACATTATATTTTCTAAATAAAAAATGTGCAGAGCCTGTATACTAAGAAACTTCATGTTCCAAATTATACTACAGTGAATTTGTATACATGTTATGAATCTGCAGTTCTGTATGAGTATGAAACTTGGTCTCTGACATTAAGGGAGGAACATAGACTGAGGGTGTTTGAGAACAGAGTGTTGAGGAGAGATGAAGTGACAGGAGGTTGGAGAAAACTACATACTGAGGAGCTTCATAACTTGTACTCTTCTCCAAGTATAATTAGAATGATCAAGTCAAGGAGGATGAGGTGGGCAGGGCATGTAGTATGAATGGGGGAGAAGAGGAATGCATATAGGATATTGATGGAAAAGCCAGAAGGAAAGAGACCACTGGGAAGACCAAGGCATAGGTGGGTGGACAATATTAAAATGGATCTTAGAGGGATAGGGTGGGATGGTATGGATTGGATTAATCTGGCTTAGGATAGAGAGGCTCTTGTGAACACAGTAATGGACCTTCGGGTTCCATAAGATGCTGGGAAGTTCTTGTGTAGCTGCACGGTCGGCGGGATCTCGAGAAGGGCTCAGCTCCGTGAGTGAGTGAGTGAGTGAGTTATGAATCTGGTACACTAATGGGTGTTGTGGAATATAGACTCCACAGGGTTTGTACCATTTCCTTATTTCTGAAATGTCTTGTAGATGATGCCTTTGGCACACAGTTTGCATTCCTAAAAATTTCTGCATGTATCAAAATAAAATAAAAGGGCAAGTACACTGAATGCAAACTGATCACAGTAGAGAAGCAGAAGACAATAACATGACTGAGTCAAGGCCACGCCATAGCTCAAGCAGTTAGTCAGTGGCTTCCCACTGCGCTGGCTCGGATTCATACCTGGGCCTGGTAAAGTGGGATTTATGGTGGACAAAGTGGTGCTGGGGTAGGTTTTCTCCGAGTACTTAAGTTTCCCCTGCCAATCTTCATTCCACCAAATTCTCCATCATCAAAATCACCCGGCTCAGGTACAATAGGCCAATCAGTGGCCGCTGTGCCGAGTGGACCCAACTGGACTCCACCCCCCACTATGCGAATTAAAAGAAAAAATAATGACTAAGTCAAAATTGTGGAGCAAGTGAAGGATACTGTCCATGCAACTCACTGAGCATCTGTGACAGCTTCTGCCATAGCCACAAACAGGACACTGAAGTAAAAGCACATGTAACAAGGGTTACCTGTACGCACTTTTTATCCAGACGACAAGGAATAGCCAAAATAAATTTTCCCGTGATTACACCAGGCACTGTTCACAGACCTACAGAATATTGCATTCTACTTGCAGGTGCAGAACCCAGCTTGCCCCATAATGCTGCACAATCATACAAGTGAACTGACTGACAATGAGACAGCGGTTCTGGTTGTCGGCGGAGGAGGTAACTGCTTCTCGTTTGGAACTGTTTTCAACAGTCGTATGATTAGGATAGATTTGCAGCAGTTCAAATAACAGGCCACAGGTATGTACAGGCACATCTGACAGTGTTATTTGAGGTCAAATTTTAAATTGTAGTAAGTTTATATACTGTTGATATTTTATCAGACTTCAAGTGTACCACCACTGCGCTTGTTTCCAATGCAACGGAGAGGATATTTGTGTCTGGACATCATCATGTTTCGCTTGTGAAACCACTCACAGGGTCTCTGTTAAATTTGGTTTGGGTATCTAAATTAAACATTTCTGGGCAAACATAATTTTGGTTCTCATAACTCAAGTAAGTATGTGCTGGCTTTTCATCATGACGTCTTAGTTCAGTTCACATGTGATCTGTCATGAAGAGTAGCACTGAAGCAGTTTCTTCTCTGAATTCCTTCATTGTTCTCCTGAAAATCATGATTCCACCATTGTTCCATACTCCTTTGTCAGCACCCTCTGGATTTGTGTGATAGCCCTGACCAGGCAGGACATTATTAAACACTTGGACTTTAAGTTGGGGCTTCATGTCTCACACAGCATCTGGCAAGTTACAGTGTAAGGAAAATAAGTTTTTCCTCAAGTCCATGAGGTTTGTTCAGATAAAATTCATTTGCTTGTTTCACTGGATTAGACTCCATGAAGAAAGTGCCAAAGGGTCTAGATTTGGGTTAAACAAAGATGTGAAGGCCCCAGTGGTCCAGTTTATCTGGCAGCAGTCCAGGAATTTCTTTGCAGAGAGGATCCATCCGGTGGTGCGAATAAGATGCCGTTTTCACTGCTCATGGGGATTGCCTTCAACTACCTCTTCCTTTGCCTGTAATGCTCCACGTTTCATTTGATCAACTTTGTATTGTAGCATGCAGAGCCATTAGTATGCAACAGCTTGATAAACATAATCCCGTAGCAACGGCTAAGAGCGCAACAGTGGAGGTACTGCTGGAAATGGTGTTTCCTACTCAGTCCATGTAAAGGGTTATAAAGAGGACAGTTGAAGCAAGAATAGTTAAATTTGAATAGAGCTGCTGTTCAGAGAGGATTTGAGCCTGGAAGCTGAAGAATCTCCACAGTTAGAAGCTGATATGAGGCAACGGCTGCTGAAGACACAGCAGGCTGGAAAAGGCTTAGCAGGTGCTGTGGTAATTTGTGAATTGTGGAGATTAGCAGTGGTGCTGTAATTGCTTGAAGTTCCGAGTCATGAGTGTATAAGTGGTCAATAAATTTAACATCCAATCCAAAATCCCACCCACAGTCACTGTATACTATGTGGCAATATTTGGCCGTGCCATAGCGCAAGCAGTTAGTCACTGGCTTCCCACTGCAGCAGCCCGGGTTCGATCCTGGGTCTGGTCAAGTGGGATTTGTGTTGGACAAAGTGGCGCTGGGGCAGGTATTCTCCGAGTACTTCAGTTTCCCCTGCCAATCTTCATTCCACCAATTGTCCACAATCACCCTCACCTATCATCTGGGGCTGGTACAATAGGCCAGAAGTGGCCGCAGTACAAAGGACTTAGTCACACCCCACTAGCAATAAAAAAGAAGTGGCAATATTACCTGCACATACAGGCAGTTGCTGTCTTTCTGTAGCATAATGTCTACTCTGCGTATGATTGAAACAACGAATCTTCAGTTATACACCTACAGGAATCAACATAAGCATGAACAAAGAATACATTTAGGAAACATGTACACCAGACTAGAGTAAATAAAATATCACGCTTATTACAAAGAGCTGGGGTAACTCATTCAGTATGATGATGATTTAAAATGGTGGTTTGGCACCTTAGGCATTTCTAGTGTTAAATGTATGCATGGTTTATTTTGCCAGCCCCATCTTTATTCATTTAACGACTCTGATAATGCTTGATGCAGAATACAGGCTTGGGGGCAGGCAATAATGTAGTCAGTTGAAACACTATGCTACAAGCCAGAAGGTCATGAGTTTGAGTCCCAATGAGGTGGATTTTTTCAATTTACCTACTCCTTCCATCCACACTATGGCCGTGGGGTTGACTCGACCTCTAACTGAAATAAGTACCAGGAATCTTCCTGGGGCCGTAAAGGGTGGCCGGTGTATAAGGGTGACAACCTCACCGTCATCTGTAAGCAGATTGTCTGAAGATGTGGGAGCTTTGACATCCCAACCCTATAGGCCTTCATGGCCCCTTTTACAGGGGTAACTTTTTACCTTTAGAGTATAGGCTATAAAATTTGTATCTGATTTGCTTCATCCTCATATTCCTTCCTTGGTTCATATACATTCCAGAACATTTTGATCTCGAACACACTCGGTCTGTGTTCTTCCCTAAAACTGAGAAACCATGTTTTACACCCATATAAAATGGCAGATGAAATTGTAAATTTTATCTTACACTTCTGGTTTTTATATGGGAAACGTGAAAACGTAATGTGTTGAACTGAATGGAAATAACCATTCTCCATATTTAATCTCCTGTTAATTTCTTTACGAATGTCATTAAAATGATAGTGGCGTTGGTACAGTTTTAATGACCAAATTCGAGTTTCGTGACTGATCTTGCTGTTGTCATGGCTGTAACATGATATGATTTTGATGAGATTTTTACCACATGGTATTTATATTTGCTTTTATTATTGACATATTTTTACCAGCTTAGTCACATACTGAAAAGTGTCTGCTATGCACCTGTTTGGTTCATGTCACAAAGCACAATGTCATAATTTTCATCGCATAATGCTTGGTTTGTCTCGCTAGATATGCTGCTCCATTATTCTTGACTTCAGCACTATATGGAGGTGGGAGGTGAGCGTCACGTCCAGTCCCACAGCCAGTCTGTGCTGTAGAGAGGAGAAAAATATTGTCATGCGTTGGCAGCAGGGGAAAAGGAAACTTAAGCATCATGCCATCAAGACATAATGGAGGCCGCACCATAGCTCAAGTGGCTAGTCACTGGCTTCCCACCGCGGCGGCCCGGGTTCAATCCTGGGTCTTGTCAGGTGGGATTTGTGGTGGACAAAGTGGCGCTGGGGCAGGTTTTCTCTGAGTACTTCGGTTTCCTGTGCCAGTCTTCATTCCACAGATTGCTCCACAATCACCCTCACCTATCATCTGGGGCTGGTAAATAGGCCAGAAATGGCTGCAGTACAAGGGACTTAGTCCCACCCCACTACCAATAAAAAAAAGACAATGGAGAATTAGTTTATTGATTTCCACTTTAAGTGATTAGAAACTGACTTCTGTCCAGTAGAAAATAAATATCTAAGAACATAGAATTCAATCAACACTTGGCATGAGAACATGGAAAATTTTTCCATTCATTAGATGCTGATTAAAATGGAAAGCATTTGAGGGTTCTTGCTGAGAACAGGAAGTGTTGTGCATTTGACTTTTGTTATAAAGGTGTTTTGTGGCAATAGTAGACAGATGGAAGTGTTGACAAAATCAATTCTGTGAATCACAAACTACATGAACTTTGTAAGATTTGAGGCTTTCACGGCGGTGACTATGAAGAAAGCAGTCTTTTGGGATTTGGCACCGTGTATATGTGGTGTTAACCGACGTTTCGGAGGAACGTATCGCCTCCATCTTCAAGGTGGAAGAAAAATATAATAAATCTGCAAGCGAAGAGACCGTGAGAACCGGTAAAAGCAGCAGTCTGGTTTTACCGGTTCTCACGGTCTCTTTGCTTCCAGATTTCTTACATTTTTTCTTCTACCCTGAAGATGGAGGCGATACGTTCCTCCGAAACGTTGGTTAACACCACATATACACGGTGCCAAATCCCAAAAGACTGCTTTCTTTATATGAACTTTATTTTTGTCCAGAGTTATAGATCTGTTTAACTGATTTCTGATGGTTTATCTGTGCGACGTTAAGTGAATAAAACAGATACAACTCTGTGGCCTTTGAAGAGCAATTAAGTAACTGAAAATGGCTACCTGGATAAGTTCAAGGTTAGACCGCATTAAGACAAGATACATCAATAATTATTTTAAAATTATATGCAAGTGCTCGTTATTAACCTTGTCCCTGGAATTAACTCCATGAAGACATGGAAAGAAGTTATTGATGTATTCTGGCCCTCAGCTCTAACTGCAGATTAGTGGTCAGCTTTCTCCCCAGCTGCCTCTACCTTTATGGAAGCAGCCCCTCCAGTACTTACTGGACAGGGGTGTGGGTAGGTGCCATAACCTATCCAGATGCAGGGGTGAAGAGAAGAATCACTATTTCCTGCTGAAAATTGAGCCTCGATTCTCTGGTCACTCATCCCATAGCCTAGTTAGTACTGCCTGAACTTTACTTGTTTCCTGCCTAATATTAGACTGATTATGATGAGAGCGTGGAGTGAATGTTGTCTGTAGACTTTAACATGAGAAATGTGTACACAGTTCCAGTCAAGAAACCTCAAGGAAAGAGACAACCTGGGAGACCTAAATATACATTGGTACAAAGGTAAAGCTATCCCCGTAACAGGCTGTGGAAACCCATAGAGTTGTGAGAGGTTGAAGCCCCCACATTTTATAGACAATTAGCTCACAGATGGCGGTAAGGTTGTCAGCCTTATGTGTCGTCCACCCTTTACCCTGGTACTCATTTCTGTTTTGAGCCTGAGTCAACCTCAGGGCTGTAGTGTGGCTGGAAGGATTAGGTAAATTTAAAAATCCAGTGTCCTCATCAGGAATTGAATCCATGACCTTCAGGCTTGTAGCATAGTGCCTGAACCAACTGTGCTACCTTGTGCCCCAAATAAGGGTTGGACGATATTAACATAGATCTCTAATAAACGGACTGATGAAGTTGGCTAAGTGGGAGCACATCTACTTATACATAGATGATGACCAGTACAAATTTTGGCTAGGATACCATTTCGTGGCTACACTGTTCCATGGTTTTTGTCAGCCCATCGAAGCAGATGTCAGGATAATACTTTAGTTGTTAAGTTATTAGGCTGTTGCAACTTCCTTTCCGATTCATTATTCATTAACCATCCTACCATTCAATATTATGTAGTTTGGGCTACTAACACCTGTATATAAATATTTATGGAACTCAGATATGAGGTTGTGCATTGGATTCAAATGGTGCAGCAGGAAGATTTCAGTTATCATGACAATAAAATTTTGGCTTCCAGAACAGTAGAAAATATCTTTTCCACCTCAATAGCAAAACTTTTCTTGAAGGATTCTACACTGTGTAATATTAACTGATACAATGGCTGTTAAGGTAAAGCTAACCCTGTAACAGGCTGTGGAGCCCATAGGGTTGTGAGAGGTTGAGGTTCCCACATTTTGCAGACAGTCAGCTCACAGATGGTGATGAGGTTGTCAGCCTTACATCTCAGCCACCCTTTACCCCCAGGAAGGTTCCTGGTACTTATTTATCTTAGAGGCGAGCCTTGCAGTTTGTGTTGGCTGTCCACCTGACTGACGACAGTTCACTAGAACTGAAACATGTAGTGGAAATACAAAATACAGATATTAGTGTTATTACAAACTGTCCTGTGATGGGTGTATATCAGTAAAGCTTATCAGGAACCCTCTGAATGCCACCAACATGTCCGGTTGTTTCAAGATACTTGAATAAGACTGTCACAGCCAAAGAGATCAGCTCATTGTTACCCACTTTAATACAGCATTTTTATTAACAGATTGTATCAAGTACAATGTACTGATGTTTAGAGGAAAGAACTGGCTTCCATATGACCTATACCTGTTTCAAAGGAAGTATTTTAGGGTTTTCTGTTCAGCTGCATTTATCCAGAGGCAACTTTATGGTGGGGCTTGGCAGTCAAAGGGTTCAGTAACCTAAGAATCAGCTGCGCCATAGCTTAAGCGGTTAGTCGCTGGCTTCCCACCGCGGCGGCCCTGGTTCGATCCCGGGTCTGGTCAAGTTTGATTTGTGGTTGACAAAGTGGCGCTGGGGCAGGTTTTCTCTGAGTACTTCGGTTTACCCTGCCAATCTTCATTCCACCAATTGCTCCACTTTCACCCTCACCTATCATCTGGGGCTGGTAAAATAGGCCAGAAGTGGCCGCAGTACAAGGGACTTAGTCCCACCCCACTAGCAATAAAAAAACCTAAGAATCTGTCAGTATATGCTTATATACCTTTTACTTAATTGTTATATATTTCCACAGTTAAAACACCATTCTCAACTAATACAAGAATTAATTCATCAAGAGTCCATACTTATATAATTTTTTTAATTCATGGAGATTAATACATCTTTGGAATGTACATTTCTATGAACTGCATCACAGCTTTGTTGGATATGTATATTACATTATATTTACTGAAAGACAGAGTGGGTATTGGAATTCTTGCAGGTGAGCACCTTTCAAATTGGTTCAAGTTCTCATGATTATCACCAGGGGCGCCACATGTCCTTATTGCCTGTTTGAGCTGCAGATGTAGTTGTAACGGCATCTGTCGATGTGGATGGCTTGTTTGAGAGATCTTCTACAACCACTGAGAGGTGACTCTTCGATTCTGAGCATTTCAACAAACCTTGAGTGCCTGTGTTGGTGTTTGATTTGTGGAGTACCTCATTTTGCACATTAAATGACAACCTGAGCATCTTGTCTGGCGATGGGAATGAATGCGATACAAGGTCACTTGGACACTCACTTGCACCGAAACTTGCCGGCAGTTGTCTCTTGTTGGAAGTGGGTGTTTGTGTGGAGGTACTGTGGAAGTCTTCCTTCTTGACGGAGAAGTCTAATGGAGGATTCTTGGTTACTGCAATATGATGTCCTTCAACAAAAGTTGTAGTTCCAGGGATTGCCGTCACTACTGACAGACACTGATCAACTGGTGTCGACAGCGTGACAGGAAGACTGTGGCGGAAAGTAGGATTTGATGAAGATACTGTCGGAAAAACACTGGCAGTCGGAATGGCAGACAATGACTCTTCTGCTGGCACTGGTACTGTTTTGAATGCAAACTTAACTTCAGTGACAGTCCCTAAAATTCCGGTTGATGACATTGAGTCTGTGGTCTGCAGTGGAAGTTTCAGTTTCCCAGGAGCGTCCACAGCAGGGGATGATGTTGAAGTCACCAGAGGCTGCTGTTGTGGTGATGCTGGTGGTTTCAGAGTTTCCGTTCCAGGAAACTGAAAGACTTTGAAACCTGATGATGGACTTCCGAGAGGAATTTTAAACTGATTTGTGTTCACAGTTGTTGGATATGGTTGTGTCTGGTTTTGGATGTGTTGAGAATTCACCAGAGATGGCTGCACTGATGGTGGTGGGGGCGTGTTTGGACTAGGATATGTATCTGTCGTGTCGCAGCTCGAGACAGAGGAGGTAGGACTGAGTAGGGGTGGGCTTCCTGATCGTACTCTTGATGAACAGGCATCGTGTGGCAAACATGATGGACTCTTGGATGGATTCTGGGCAGGTGTTGGGCTTTGAGATCTTGCAACAGCCGTAAACGCACTCGGATGGGATCGGTCAATACTGCCACTGGTAACTGTTGAGCTGGGGCCTACGTTTTCTGTGTTGATCAGTGCTGATGTAGCCGCAAATGTTGTCGAAGTAGTAGAGGTTGTTCCTTGTGTTGCTGCTAGAGGTGGGAAAAATGGTAAAACATTTCCAGGAAGCTGACCACTGTGAGGGAGTAGGAGAGCAAGTTCTCCTGTTGGGAGGCGACTTGGGATGAGTTGTAAGCCACCTGTCATCTGCAGCCTCGTTCCAGAGTTGTGATGATTGTTATTGACGTCTCCAGTTGGGATCTGTGGTAGTATAGTTTGTAGGTTTGTTGTACTGGATGGCGTATTTGGTCCCTGCTGGAGAGGCAAGTGGAGTGCAGTCGACACCCCCATTGTAGGAAACACACTGCCAATAGTACTGCTAATTGCAGTGCTGCCCCCGAAAGTGAAAGGGGACAGCTGTTGGAGTCCTGAAACACAGCTGGAAAGGTGCGCTACCAGGCGCTGTTTTACTGCTGGTTCGACACCTTCTATGCGGCTGATGTAGCGACTGACCTCGCTGGCACATTCGTTGAAACCAGTCTTGAATTTGTGTAGTACTGTAGGGTCTGTTGCCACAGCCACAGCTAATTGCTGGCGCTGTATAGTCTGTAGATGTTTCACCGTCATCTCAAGAATATCAGCTTTCTCCAACTTGGAATGGCGTGCTGGCTGCAACAGTTCATTAAAAAAATACTTCATTATTTGCATGTTAATTATGATGCAAGAAAAGGGAAGTAACAAAGTACAAATTGTCTTTGTATTAATTTACGTCATGTTTTCAGTGAGTAAGGATAGCTCAGTCGGTATAGCATCTGCCTATGGGCTGGACAACAAAGGGGTTGGAGTTCAGTACCTGGTGGGATCAAGAATTTTTTCTTCTCCGTGTCATGCAGACCAGCTCTGAGGTCCATCCAGTGGGTACTTGGGGTAAAGCGATCAGGGCATGAAGCTGACTGCTCACCTCCAACTGGTGCCGAGGTCAAGAAAACGTATATCTAAACCTCCACTCCCCCATACTTCTTCATGGTGTAGTGGTTAATCAGTTATGCAAAGGGAGAATTTTATCTTTTTACATGTTTTCACTATTCTGATATGAAATGGAATGAAAGTATACTGTGCTGGCCATATGTAAACTGGCATTTACTGTGGGGAACATATTTAAATTTAAACATTTTGGATACAATGAATGAAAAAAATTATATACAGTTAAAATAATTTTGCTTAAGTTTAGTTCCTGCCCTTGTAGGTGATGACTGTGTGTACAGATGCATTATGTTACGTATGGGGTCACAGTAATATGCATTACTTGTATGGATATTGCAAATCTGTTGAAGCATTGGTCACAGTCGAGTGACTAGGGCCCTTGCTTTGTATCTGAGTTGTTCCAGGTTTAGTTCTTGTGCCAGGTACAGGCTACCCTGGCCTCATGTAAATTATTATGTGTCTGTTGATTTTTCTATGTTAAAGACTGGAATATGTCAACAGATTTTAATTAAACCCAGTATTGTCATATGTTATGGAGTGACTCTTGACAGGGTTTTAGACTGAATATTGTATTTGTTGACCACTTATACATGTGACTCAGAACTACAAGTAATTACAGCGCCACCGCTAATCTTCACAAATCACCACAGCATTCACTAAGCTTTTTCCTACTTGCTGTGTCTCCACCAACTGTTCCCTGGTAACGGTTTCTAACAGTAGAGATTCTACAGCTTCACGTGCTCAGGTCCTACCTTCACAGGCTACCATACAGAACTTAATTGGATGTAGAAGAAGAAAAAGAAGTGGAGGGTGGTAGTGAGAGACACTACATTGTGGGGGGGGGGTAAGAAACTATATCTTCGATTTTGAAGGTTCCCGGGCAGTGCCCGCTTGTCCTGGTATAGGTAGAGCATATAATCGGATTTTTTTATATAATATATTTTTATGACGCTGGAAGGGGTGCATTATAGTAAAATTTTTTCTAACGTTGGGAGGGCTATATTAGGGCGAAATTTTGATGTTAACAATGGGAGGGCTGCATGTGAGGCATGCAGTGTAACGTGGAAATTTGGTACCAACTCAGCATTTGCTCTAGGACCGAGGAAAACCACGGAAAACCTTGGTCGAGTTGGTCGGTCGCAGGACCTTCTGGATGCAAACTGACTTCTAGCCAGCAGTGTGGCATTAAATGCGCGAACCCTAACATTGGACCCTATCTGGCTGTTGCTTTATGTTGCCCCTGTTGTTTCCCTTATAAGTCTTTGCACGGACCAAGTAGAAAACGCCTATTCCAATAGTACCTCCATTGTGACATACATATTCATTGTTACGGGATCGTGTTTACCGAACCGTTCTCTAGCAACGACTGTTTATCTGGCTCCACAGTTCTTGCTTTGAGCAAATATGCGACAGTTTCATGAAAATGTGTTGAGTAGTTCTCAAGTTGTTCGATGTACAGAGACGGGTGGAGATGTTTTAATAGACCCTCCAAATGACCTGCAGACATGCATAAAAAGAGACTCTTGTATCAAGAAAGTGTGAAATCTCAGTTTTCTTGGGCTTAACTGGCTTTTCAGAGTGCATCCAAAAAAAATACAAGCTATTACATACCTGAGGACTATAATCTTACAAAAAAAAAAGTAGATTTGTTTATAAATGAAAATCAAGTCGTTTTAAAATTGACAGACAGGCAGTGACCCCCCCCCCTCCTGCTCGCATATGCCGAATGCAGGATCCTAGTTGTGGTGTCTAAATAGAGCTTCTATAAACCAACCCAAGTCTAAAAGTGGGGGGGGGGCGCTAAGGGTTCCAAAGAACCGCATGTAGCTCACAAGTTTGTCCACATGTACTGTAGAATGACTGTGNCCCCCCCCCCGGTTATTGACGTGAGACCCGCGTTAAGTTGTTACGTGTTTGTTGATACTGTGATGGTAGTCACGCTACTTTAATTTACGCAGTAACAGATGATAAACTGGCATCAGAATGTTCCATTGTTCAAATGCTAGCCTTCCCCATAATTATGAAAATCGACTCCGGTAGCCAACGACCTCCCCAGCCATAAGGTCACCTTTCCTCCTCCTGTTCCATGTGATGCTGGCCGAGGAAGCGTCTGGCGGTATTTCACAAGGGAACGGCCGTGGGAACATATCATCACCCTTCTGTTCGCATGGGAACCCCACAGCATGTGGCGGTAGGAAACAAAACACTCTCGTACGTCACTAAACCGATTCAGGCGTTTTTTTTCTTCATTTACATGACTTTAAAACGTCGCCCTTCCCAGAGAAACAGTGGAACTACCGACTGTCCCCGCGCTGTTACACGAAACTCGGGACATCAGCTGAAGCGGTAAGGCTCCTAACAGTTATTCGGTTCGAAACTTTGCCAAGGGTTTTTGTTTCTTTCGGCCCCTCCACAGATGACGGAGTATTCGCGTCAGTACGCTTCCTTTGGCGTCATTTAAAATTATATTTTTTCACCGTCATCCAATTATTCGACGTTATGTAGACTAAGTTCCTTGCGATGTCCTTAATAAATATAAAAAATGTAAAACTATCGCGCTGTAAGGGCCGTGGAGGCCAATAGGGTTCTGAGACGTCGAGGTCCCCTCATTCGGCTCACAGATGGCGGTGAGGTTGTCAGCCTTACGCGCCGGCCGCCCTTTACATCCCAAGAATATTCCTGGTACTCATTTGTATTAAGAGTCTGAGTCGACCCTAGGGCCATAGTGCGGCTGGAAGGATTAGGTCGGTTGAAAAAAATCAAATGACCTCATCTGTCTTAATGTGATGTGTTTTGATGGAAGAATTTGATGTCTGCTTGTTTGAAAATTAGAATATACAGAACTATAATTTTGCCTGTGGTTCTGTATGGGTGAGAAACTTTGTCACTGACATTAAGGGAGGAACATAGACTAAGGATGTTTGAGAACAGGGTGTTGAGGAGAATATTTGGACCAAAGAGGGATGAAGTGACAGGAGGTTGGAGAAAACTGCATAATGAGGAGCTTCATAACTTGTACTCTTCTCCAAGTAAATTAAAATGATCTCAAGTCAAGAAGGGTGGGGTGGGCAGGGCCTGTAGCACGAATGGGGGAGACGAGGAATGCGTGTAGGATATTGGTGGGAAAGCCAGAAGGTAAGAGACCACAGGGAAGATCAAGGCGTAGGTGGGTGGACAATATTAGAATGGATCTTAGAGAGACAGGATGGGATGGTATGGATTGGATAGATCTGGCTCAGGATAGGGACCAATGGAGCTCTTGTGAACACTGCAATGAACCTTAGAGCTCCATAAAATGCTGGGAAATTCTTGAGTAGCTGCAGAATTGGCGGTTCCTCCAGAAGGGCTCAGCTCCATGAGTATGTAAGTGAGTAAGTAAGTAAGAATGTTGGCAGAATCTGGAAATTCCGGATTTTTGTCTGGCACCAGTTTTGCCACAGTTTTGTCATGTGCAGTATAGTCGGAGGTAGGATTTTGGAACTGCGGCAAGATTTGGAAGCAGGGTCTATTTTGTTCATACGTACGGCATGGAATCTGGTGACGTGGTGTGGAAAATAATATGGAAACTAGTAACGCAATACAGACAGGTTTTGGAAATAGGAACGCGGGAAATGTGTATTTTCGGAACACGACACGACAGCGTGGCATTAACGTAATAGAGAGTTAACAGGGATGTAACTTACGTCCTTCTTCATGGCGTCCAAGATGAGGGCCTTCAGCTCGTTCAGACAGTGGTTGATTCGCGCTCTCCTCCTCTTCTCCATGATCGGCTTATTGCTCTGCACAGCAACAACAACAGTAACTCCTTATTAGGTACAGTTAAGTCATTCCCATACAATGACGGGTACATCCGTCTCTAAAATATCTTGTTATTTAATTGCCATATTGAACCAGTATTTAAACACTTTATAACTAGAATGTAACATTATGATGTTAGCGGGGTATTGGGAAGTTTTGGCAATATTTATGAAAACTTTTCCACTTTTTAATTATCAGACGCCTTGATATAACACTTCGTCACTCGCCCTAAGGGAAAATCATATTGTGGTGTGTAGACCCTTTGCTAAGTAATGTCCATTAAACAGCAACAAAGGAGTGGTTTTCCGCGTGGTCCATGCCGATGGCTGCGCAAGCAACAGTGGAATACGTCATGCCACCGCTAAGCAACAATTGCACTGCAGTAGAGGAACGGTGTTTTCTAAACGGTCAGTGCCGAGATGTTATAAGCGAGACAGTGAATTGGTGAGCAGTCAGTCAGTCAGAGGACTGCTGCAGTTCGGTCGTTGTGAGCTGTTGCTGCTAGAAGCTGGTAGCTGAGGCACGGAGATAGTTCGGGAACCCAGAGGAAGGGAGCATCCGCCGTTGGTAGCCGTTATCAGACAACGACCGGTGAAGACAAAACAGGCTGAGAAGGCTTAAGTGTGTGGTGGATTAGTGAAACGGTTATAACTTGTACTCACGGATCTGTAAGAGCTCAATAAAACTCCGTCTATAGTCACACTCATACACGTGACAGTATATTGAGGGTGCCTGAGAACAGAGTACAGGGCAGAATACCTGGACCAAAGAGGCGAAGGAGAAGGGGGAGGAAGATGATAAAGAAAATTGCATGAGGGGCTTTGCAGTTTGTGCACTTCACCAACTGCTATTACGTACTTGTTATTTATGTTGTGTTGTTATGACGCTGTCAGTATCCGGACTACATAGCATCGAATCAAACAATGGTTGATGGATATTATGAACTGGAAAGAGGAATTTGGAAGAAGGCAAAATTACCGTTTCTTGTATTTTCATCTTTATGCCTGGACAGCGCAGTCGGTATAGCGACTGGAAACGGGCTAGACGACAGAGGGGTCGGAGTTCGAGTCACGGTAGGGTCAAGAATTTTTCTGTGCATGTCGTCCAGATCTGTTCAGGAGCCCACCCAGCCTCCTATCGAATGGGTACCCGCGGTAAATCTGCCGGGACGTGAAGCTGGCCACTCACCTCTATTTAGTTCCGAGGTCAAGAATGGTAGAGCTACACCTCCGCTGCGCCGTTGCGTCTTCACAGGGACAATTTTACCTTTTTTATTGCCTTTTCATTAAGGGACTCCTTCATATGAACTTGCCACAGTTGAATGAATTGAACATTTTGTGATGTTAAGTAACGAGATGTCTTTATCTGTGTTACGAGGCACTATTAATGAATCAACTCCATGAGGCTAATACTCGTAGTTTTGCAGCTATATAAAAGTTCCCTATCTTTTATAGCCCGGAAAATACGTTACTTGGTCAAAGTGTTTGAACCCAATTTTGAGCCACCTCATACAGTCAACATCCTCGCGCCCTATTGCTCTATAATTTTTTAATATTATCATTCCATTAAGCCTCGATCTCCATATGGTTTCTTCTGTTCAGGGTTTCCGACCAAAATTCTGAAAGCATTTTTCGCCCCTCTCCCAACTTTTGGAAAAAGCAACTGTTCGCTTAATTCCACAAGCAGTTTAGTAATTTGTAATGCAGATCTTTCTTAATTCTTTTATTGTGTTGTCTGTAGCAAATAGCCCCTGCAGTTAGGCTGCTGCAAAACAAAGTAATCCAGTGTCGGCATGTAACACCCAATCAGCCAGCACTTCAGACTGGTCCCGTTCCATGAATGGTTTACCAGCGGTCAGTTAAAGCAGTAATTTAATCACGAGAATTACACACACACACATATATGTATATAAAGCAAGTAAAGGTATCCCTGTAACAGGCCGTGGAGGCCCATAAGTTTGTGAGATGTTGAGATTCCCACATTTTCTAGACAGTCGGCTCACAGATGGCGGTAACATTGTCAGCCCTACGCGCCGGCCGTCCTTTACACCCAAGAATATTCCTTGTACTGGTGTGTATATATATATATATATGTCTGTTCGTAGGGAGGAAATGAATCTGCATAATGAGGAGCTTCATATCTTGTACTCCAAGTATAATTAGAATGATAAAGTCAAGGAGAATGAGATGAGAAGGGCATGTAGCACGAAAGGGAGAGAAGAGGAATGCATGTAGGATATTGCTGGGAAAGCCAGATGGAAAGAGACAACTAGGAAGACCAAGACGTAGGTGGGTGGACAATATTAAAATGTATCTTAGAAAGATAGAATGGGATGGTATGGACTGGATTGATCTGGCTCAGGATAGATACCAATGGAGGGCTCTTGTGAACACGGTAATGAACCTTCGGGTTCCATAAAATGTTGGGAAGGTCTTGAATAGATGCACAATTGGCGGCTTCTCAAGAAGGGATCAGCTCCATGAGTGAATGAATGGACTGCTACAGACATAACATGGTCAGTCCTCGTGATTCTGGCTCGTATCCCTCCGAAACATTCACATGTTTAGCTTACCATGAGCAGGCAACCTTAACAAAAGAAAAGTCCCTGCGTGTTCAGCGAGATCTCCGGTTTGGCGATTTTGGTTCTCATTGTATTAATATTGTATTTTAGCTTCATTTTGTGTGTAGAATATTATATTCTGTTTCAGTCCCGCAATGTACGAGTCATTTTATGATAACTATACACTTTCTACTATTACGTTTTCGGCCACGATTTTTGGCCATCATCAGGTAGTCCTTAATGTAGTCACTCTCAACTCGCTCTGCTATTGCCCCTCAACTGGCCAGTGTTTACAATTGTGGACGATCATATTGTTTACAATGTAGGTTTTTAGTTGTAGACCTGTTGTAAACAACAATATGACCTTCCCTCAATTGTAATCACTGGCCAGTGGAGGGGAAATAGCAGACAGAATTGAGATTGGCCAAAAATAGTGGCCGATCTAATTGACCTCATGGAGCCGTGCCCTTCTTGAGAAGCCTCCAATTGTGCAGCTTCTCCAAGAACTTCCCAGCATTTTATGGAACTCGAAGGTTCATTACTGTGTTCACAAAAGCCCTCAGCTGGCCTCTCTCCTTAGCCAGATCAATCCAGTCCATATCACCCTAACCTATCTCTCTAAGATCCCTTTAATATTATTCACTCACCTACGTCTTGGTCTTCCCAGTAGTCCCTTTCCATCTGGCTTTCCCGCCAATATCCTATATGCATTCCTGTTCTCCCCATTCATGCTACATGCCCTACCCATCCCATTCTTGATTTGATCATTCTAATTATACTTGGAGAAGAGTACAAGTTATGAAGCTCGTCATTATGCAGTTTTCAACAACCTCCTGTCACTTCATCTCTCTTCGGTCCAAATATTCTCCTCAGAATATCACCCGGAACATGTCATATAGTTATCGCATTGTGTGTTTAAAACAGAATCCAGTAACTCTCAAATTATGATGTCACGATTCGTGTCACTATCTACCGACACCGCACACTCACGGTGTTTTACACATAGAATATTATTCATATCACAGCAGTGACTACGGCACTGTCTTGTGGGAAGTAAAGCCTGTAGCTGTGTCCCAGAAAATACTGCAATTCAAACTCTGTTCTTGTCCGAAATGGCGTTGGCTAACTATACCTAACTGTACGTGGGGGTTTGTTACTCTATCCACCGCGTACGCGAGTGTTCAAAACAAACTCCGTGGTTTTAGTCCGCAAGCGAACTATACCGACCGAGCGACCGCCGCTTGTCGGCGAAGTTAGTGCCTGTGGTCTAGTAGTTAAGAGTTCCTGGCTACAGATCCAGAGTCCCCGGCTCTACCAGATTTTCTGAGAAGTAGTGGGTCTGGAACGGGGTCCACTCACCCTCGTGAGGATAATTGAGGAGCTATTTGAAGGAAATAGCGGCTCTGGTCTAGAAAACCGAAATTAACGGCCGTGGGCATTCGTTGCGCTGACCACGCGACACCCTCTATCCGCAAAAGTTGGTACTAACTTCGCCGACAAGCGGCGGTCGCTCGGTCGGTATAGTTCGCTTGCGGACTAGAACCACGGAGTTTGTTTTTTGTTTTGATCCATGAAGTTGTAAGGAAGAACGAATTGTACTTACCCTCCTCTGCTCCGCCTTGGACATCCCATGGTGCTGGGGTTTGTGGTCATATTCGTCCTCACTGATAGGCATGATGAAAACAGTAATTAAAACGAACACCAATCACCTACTTCTTACAGGCTGTGATGTCGCAAACTGTCTCATCGTTAATTACAATTTTAAAATGTTCACAGCATCACATTAATTTATTCTTATTCTTCTTCACTGATTTAAATTCATATATTGACAGAATTTAATGTCTTTCTCACAGTAGCTGTATTTTGTGACATATCATACAGTTCCAGTCAGTATTCCACAAAAATTCATCGGGAAGTGATTTCTTTTTATGGATAATTTTATACGATGTATTTTTTTATGTTACTCGATACTGGAACGGATAAAATATGAACTTTTTCGTCGATATACTTCAATTTTACGCCATATTACAAGTTTGTGATCAGTAAATAAAAAAATTTCAGTCCACCTTTCACGAAAGTCCATCGGAAACTAACAGTTTATTATGCCTAGTATTTTTTTTTGCATTGTTACGCGTTGTAAGTATACAAGTTTAAGTATTTAAATTAATATAATTAATTAGGCTTTCATTTTGCATCACAGTACGCCTGTGTAAGCCAGTGAATGATTTCCAGTTCTTATTGTGTTGAAGTTTATTGGGAAATGACACTCTATTTTTCGGAGTCAATTTATATTCCTATTCTAAACTATCATTTTCAGTATTGAAATCACTATAATTACACATCCGTTATCCCATAACACAGTTTTCAGTCAGTTCTTGTGAATCTTTTCATATTTGTATCTTGTTAATTGAAGGAGTTCAATATTTAAATTCACAAACTGAATTGTTCCTTCACTTTGTGCCTCATTTCACATGTTGTAGTCCAGTAAACGCGGAAATTCGCAGGGAAATGGCAGTTCATCCATCTGGGTGTACCCGCATTCTTTCTCGCACTGAACACATCAACTTAACGTTTAAATTAACAAACCTCCACTACACTTTCATTTTACAGCACTTTGCGCATGTGTAGACCAAGAAGCACGGAAATTTCAGCCCATATTTTAAGAAAATCCATCGCGTTATTCTTACGTTATCTTTTTGTTGTAAAATCACCAGTGTCAGTAGTTTAATTGGCACAGTTTAATATAGTTCTCACCGTTGTCACACTTCACGACACATCACGTACTCAGCGTCTGGTGAAGACGGATATTGTAGTCTGCGTCGTGCGGAAGTCCATCAGGAACTGATAGCAGCAGATCGCCTTAACAATTGAGGAATATCCTTTCCCGTCACCTCCCCCCACCAACCTTCTGACAGTTCCCGTAACAAGTCAGCAGCTGAAGTAGCAGCGGTGGGGGAACTTGTGCGTAACTATACCAGTCCACGCACAACGCGTGTGTATGCGTGTGCAGAGCAGTGGGAGAGAGTGTGTGTGTGTGGGAACCATGGGAATTCGTACTGTAAAAGTTTTATGTGTATAGGAATGTTGATAGGGGAAGTGAAGGGGCAGGCATTGTTTTGAAGCAGGTGAAGGGGAAGGTAGGAATGAGTGGGGGAGAACGGAGGGAGAGGATATCACTGTGCTCCCTTCTACGACAAAACAAGAAAAGAAAGAAAGGGAACAGAGGCATAGGATCACCTGGGAATATTTTAAAACGTGGGAAAAAATATTTTTAAGAGTTCCGAAAAGCTTCGGTGTCGTGTCGCATGTTAGTCGTGTGTATAACTTTGTTCTTCAGAGGGAACGGGTTGGGGGAGTTTGATGGACATTTAAATGCCCCTTCCCCCTCGTCGCCACTACTCTGAAGCACTGAAAGAACGCGTAACATTCGCGGCACTGCAGAATTGCGGCATTAGCTAGAATAGAAAGCCGATTACTAATTATAACCGTATTTGTGGAAATACCTATAATTATACTTAAGGTATTTTCAATTTAATGTGTCTTAATAGTCTATTTTTTACGTATTTTTGCTTACAACCCTCAGAACTAAATTACATATTCAATTTTGACAAAAAATACAATTTTTTTTCTAGTTTTCTCATTGGAAAAATAGAGGTTCCCCATATGTGCAGCCTTGTACGGTATTTTGAAGTATTGAAATTAAGAAAGCGAAATGTTATAGCTTGGTGTTGTTGTTGTTGTTGTTGTTGTTGTTGTTGTTGTTGTTGTTGTTGTTGTTGTGAGCCGTGATCGCTCAATTGGTATAGCGACTAACTAGCTACGGGCTGGATGACCGGGGGGTTTGGAGTTCAAGTCCCGGTACGGTCAAGAATTTTCTCATCTGCACGTCGTCCAGACCGGTTCTGGGGTCTATCCAGTGGGTACCGGGTGCTCTTTCCTCGAGGTTAAAGAGCCTGGGGCGTGAAGCTGACCACTCACCTCCATCTGTTGCCAAGGTCAAGAATGCGTAGTTCTGTGTATATTCACCCCCCACACGTCTTCATGGCGGTGCTATTTTTTACCTTATGTTCTGATATCCGGAAGCGAGAGGAAAAGAAATCACCGTGCAGTCTGCAGAAATTAAATATTTAACTTTTTCACATGTGGAGCCGGAATAGCTCAGTCGGTATAACAACTAGATTACCGGCTGAGCAATTGAAGAATCACAGTTTGATTCCCATCAAGGAAAAGACTTTCCTTCACGGGCCCACGAAACCTGCTCTCGAGTGAGTATAGGAGCAAAGAGGCCGGGGCGTGAAGCTGGCCACTCACTTATGTCAAGTATAGAGATATGTCTTCACGCCACGGTGTTTAATTAATATCGGGGACAAATTTACATTTCATTTTACCTCTTTTTGCAGGTCACAACTTTTACAATGTAGGCCCCTGTTGCTGGGTTTGAGGCCCTCACTACGGCGACTGAAGGTTACGGTCTTCTGCGTTGTGACGCCGTATAATTCGGAGAGACTCCGAAGTTTCGGCGAAACATGTCATCTTCAGTGTCGAAAAGCTTAGCTTGTTGTCTGCTTATGCTGGTTCCTTGTTTGGCTTCATTTTCAATCCAGAATTTGGAGAATGTGCTCTTCCGAAACGTCGTTCTCTCTCCGAACAACAGAGTGTTACCATGCCTTTTAAACCACTATTATTTTTCTTGTTATTTTCTCAATTTTGGCTGGTAATAAAATTTAAATATCTTTCCAACTTAAATATTTGTGTGGGTGNTGGGGACATACCAAGGGGCGTCCGTTAGCAGACGCAGAGCTTTAGACTGAAATCGCTCAAAGATGGCAATGTTGGTGTTCGAAGCAGAGCCCCATAGTTGAATGCCATATGTCCACACAGGTTTGATGATGATGACTAATAATGTGTGAAATTACGTACTTCGAAAGGGAACGAAAATTCAGATGCTCAAAGAACGCGTTACATGTTGGCAAGAAAAACCAAACAGAACTGGAAACGAGTATATTCGTGAGTGGGCTTGAATAGGACAGAGGATGTGGTCTCTTGGTCATGATGAGCAGTAGTACGAGGCTGTGAGTTTCCTGCGTTCATTTACGTTCTTTACATTATTTGGGGAGTTGCGTACATCTAAATTCATCATCATTAGCAAAACAGCCCTTTTCGAGGCACAGCCTTCCTTAGAGGGCTCTGATATTGCATCCGGTTTTCATTTATTTGGATTAAGGTAAAGCTATCCCTGTAACAGGCCGTGGAGGCCCATAGGGTTGTGAGACGTCGAAGCTCTCACATTTTCTAGACAGTCGGCTCATAGATGGCGGTTAGGTTGTCACCCTTACGCTCCGGCCACCCTTTAGCCCCAAAAAGATTCCAGGTACTCATTTCTGTTAGAAGCTGAGTCGACCCCAGGGCTGGAAGGATTAGGTAAATTGGAAATATCCACCTCATCGAGACTTGAACCCGCTACCCCCCAGCCTGTAGCATAGTGCCTCAACCAACTACAATACCACGTTCCCCCCACTTATTTGGATTTCGCGACAGTAATGTTTTTACAGAGCAAGGTCGTCAGCCTTGCGTCCAACCCCCAACCTGGAGGACCAGGTCTCGGTTTTCGTGTCCCCCAGTGACGGGGTCGCCCCCAGGAACCGGACCAGCTTTTGGTCACCAACGACTCGAAGGGCCACGGTGGAGGTATTCTAACCCACCTCCATACGAATATTACAATATAATCTGGCGTGTCCTCATAGCATACCAAAGTACAAGCTGATGAAATACAGCTTAATGTTTCTGTTGTGAGGGATTGGTCAAGGATTATCAGATGTGCGTTCAGTTAGTAGGACGTCAGTGTTCTCGTAACTTCGGACGAAGATGTGACAGTTTTACTGTCTGGCACTCTGTACGTAAACCAAGTATACACAGATAACGAGTCATAGTAATTGATCCATGGAAATGAACAGAGTGACCTTGACCCGGTTCCTATTCATAGAAGTTCTTCAATGTGTTTGCAAGTTGCGTCATGCACTTTTTGAAGAGGCAACTTTACCTTCTATTAAGTCAGTCGGGATAGCTCAGTCAGTATAGTGACAGGCTACGGGCTGGACGGCAGGGGTAAGATTCTTTTCTTCTCCACAGCACCCAGACCTGCTCTGGGGCCTACATAGCCTGCTGTCCAATAGGTTCCGGGTGCGATTTCCCCCGGGGTACATTAACAGGGGCGTGAAGCAGACCACTCACCTCCATCTGGTGCCGAGGTCAAAGATGGTGGTTCTACACCTCCACTCCCCCATATGTTTTCACTGCGTGATGCCTGATTAATTAAGCACAACCTCACCACCTTCTGTTGGAGCCTCGGCCTCTCACACCTCTATGGGCCTCCACTGCCTGTAACTGAGATAGCTTTACCCCCTTTATTTTACAGGGACAACTTTACTTTTGACCTAAGTCAAATTTTACGAGACGCGGCGAAATATGGATAGCCCAACAAGGGCTAAATGACAGAAATTTTCGACCCGTACAGGAAGAAAGGAGGGGGAGAGAGAGAGAGAAACTGCTTTACGTGACAGCACGTGACATTTCTTGACATATCATTCGAACAACATAGTCAAGAACAGAGGTAGAGAATATTTTTGCCTTGTCACGTAAGTAGCAGATAAAATTATTCATGTCGAGACGTTTGCGAATTTCCACGTTATCAGCCCCCTGATTATAAAGAAGTATTTTTTCTATGTCGTCTGTAGGTCTATATGAGGCCTATGTATGTATGTACGTATGCTCGCCTCGGCAGCACCTGAATTTTATTCGTGTTCATTATTTAGGAGTTTATCTGTCATAGGTAATTTTACCTGTGGTTCTGTATGGGTGTGAAACTTTGTCTCTGACATTAAGGGAGGAACACAGACTGAGGATGTTTGAGGACAGGGTGTTGAGAATATTCGGACCGAAGAGAGATGAAGTGACAGGAGGTTGGAGAAAACTACATAATGAGGAGCTTCGTAACTTGTGCTCTTCTCCAAGTATAATTAGAGTGATCAAGTCAAGGAGGATGAGATGGGCAGGGCATGTAGCTCGAATGGTGAAGGAGAGGAATGCATGTAGGATATTAGTAGGAAGGCCAAGACGTAGGTGGGTGGACAGTATTAATGTAGATCTTAGAGAGATAGGATGGGATGGTATGGATTGGACTGATCTGGCTCAGGATAGAGACCAGTGGAGGGCTCTTGTGAACATGGTAATGGACCTTCGAGTTTCATAAAATGCTGGGAAATTCTTGAGTAGCTGCAAATTTGGCTTCTCAAGAAGGGCTCAGCTCCATGAGTGATCCGTCATAGGTTGGTGCCAGATGAATCTGTACTTACCAGCTCCATGCGATCCACAAATTAGAAAACGGCGATTTTCTCGAAATCCGCAATTTCTGAGGACCATGTCCCTAAATAAAGCTGCATAGGCAGTATTTTCAGATAAACACCGGGACGCGCACTGGGAGGCCGAAACACAGTATGTCGGTCACACGGATTTCGTTGTTGTTCGGCATTCAGCAACAGAGAATGATGACGCGAGGAACAATTGATTTCGTTTCCATGGTAACTAAGTCAAGGCTAATCGTGTATGAGAAAGTGTGTGCGGTGTCTTTGCGACGATTTTTCTCCTACGTGGTCACGATTTTGCTTGCTTTCGTAAAATCGAGAAATGGTTTAGAGGTTTTGATGATCCATGGTATCAGTGCCGTTCCGTAAGGTTGCCTACACAGCGTATGACGTAGCCTGCTTCGTACAGTATATGGGCTTCGTGTTTTACTTGTGTTCCACCACGATGATGACCGCTTCAACTTGAGGCATCCCACGCCCAAATTAAGATTTTCTAGCTCATAGTGTGGATAATTGATATTGCTGTTTTAATTTCCTGTTGATATTAACCATCAGTCTCTTGGCCGCTGTCTGGTCCGAGACATGAAGTCGAGACCTCCAAAATACGCTTATGTCTGTATAGTATTTTCTTCCATAGACGTTTTCCAGAAGGTCGCATGTTCGATTCCCG